AATAAACCCCTCTTCAAGATAAAATATTTAATTTTTTTTTTACCATATATGAAAACAGTTCTTAGTTTATGTACAAAGTCTGCAGACCCTTTGATAGCTTAAATTATTCAATACTATCTGAACGAAAGTCTTTTATATCGTGAAATAAACCCCTCTTCAAGATAAAATATTTAATTTTTTTTTTACCATATATGAAAACAGTTCTTAGTTTACTCATACAGTCTGCAGACCCTTTGATAGCTTAAATTATTCAATACTATCTGAACGAAAGTCTTTTATATCGTGAAATAAACCCCTCTTCAAGATAAAATATTTAATTTTTTTTTACCATATATGAAAACAGTTCTTAGTTTATGTACAAAGTCTGCTCATACAGTCTGCAGACCCTTTGATAGCTTAAATGCGGAACTTGAAGTTCTGAAGGTACAATGCCCACCTCATGATCCTCGCACTATCAATCTTGCACTTCTGAATGTATGTAAGTGGTTGATGGTCTGTCTGGATGATAAACTCCTTCCAATATATAGTTCTGGAATTTCCGAATGGCAAATATAATGGCCAGACACACTCGTTCAATCATGGAGTAGTTCTTCTTACCATTTAACCCTATCAAGATGGGTCATGGGTGAAAGACCACATCATTTCATTTGTTGAATGGCATTCAAAATTTCATTGAACTGCTATTTTATGAATTTATGTCAACAACTTTGGTATCAAACTGTAGATTATAATTCAAATTTTACTACTATATATTACTCAAATTCTTAATTTCAAAGCAAATATTAAAAAAAACAGATAAACATTGATTTTTTGTGTGTCACATGGTATGTTGAATGAAGCATGGTTCAAATTAGATATTTATGAAATCAAATACAAAGTCTATAGTTATGAACGAATTAGAAACTCAAATTACCGATACTGACAAGCTAGAATGTAATAAATCAAACACAGTGGCACCCAGCCAACCTCTTTCCATTTTTGGAAAGAATCCCTTATATACACTTACTTTTATATATGACATGAATAACCAATTGGAAGCTCAGAATATTCCCCTTGTGGCTTTCTCAGCCATTTTAATGGACTTGGCATCATTTCTTTCTTTTCAACCAATATTTCAACGAGGTAGGGTGTGTTTTTAATTTCATATTTTTTTAGAATAAAATACATCTTAGTTACTAAGCTTGATAAATTATAGTGGTATTCTATGGTATTAATGTAGTAATTTATGATTTTTTAGTTATTCAAATGTATATATATAAAACCTAAAAAAAAATATTTTGTTTCATATCCTCCATGTGCAATTTTTTTAAAGGCTTAGCAACCTACGTCAAGCAGCAACTGAGTACAAATGTCGTAACTAGAAGAGAGAATTGTTTGCTTTACTTCTTTAGTTACTGTTCTATGTTTTAAGAAAAATAAGTTTAAGAACTTATTTCAAAATAGCAATCTATAATGATTGAAATTTGACTGTATTTTACAAAATACTAATCTACTAAAACACAGCCAAGACAAGTTACTTTGCACAGACCAAAGGTAAGTTTTATGTTATTTGATACGGTAGCCACATTGTTGTAATTTCTGTATTGGTAGCCAGGCATGGCTGAAAGGTCAATGTAATAAATATATATAAATGTATAATATTACAAAATTTAAGCTATTTA